CGAGCGAAGCAGCGGTTCCACCAATCGTAGTCATCGAATGGGTTGAAAGCAAGGAACTTTACCGGAGACGTTAAGAAGAGAGGTATTTATAGCGTCGACAAACGGTTTATTACCTTCACAATCGAATACAAATCCGCGAGAGAGTTCTGAATGGGTGTGCCGGAAACCACGAAACGGCGCTCGGCTGGCCAGAGCAGTAGTCAGCATCGGTTCACGCGAGAAGGCGTAAAGCTTGCTTTACCGTCCAACTTAAATGCCGCTTCCGACTGCTTCGACTTCCGGTTCCTCACAATATGCCCTTCATCCAAAATAACCCGCCTCCATTTCACAGCATGCAGACCCTTTTTACTAGTAACCGAAGACTGCGCCAACATATTATACGTCGTAACCACAACATCTTGATCCGCAAGAAACTTCGGATCTGCGTTACGGTCGGCGCCATGAAAGACATAAGTAGCCAACTGCCCCGTTTGGACATGCGTCTCGATCTGCGTAGTCCAATTGCCGACAACTGACAAGGGACATACGATGAGCGTTGCTTTCGAGTATGATGTGTCGAGAGGTGTTGGGACGTCTACGACGCCGCCACCGGTAGGGTCGGAGAGTATTAGGGAAATGACTTGGAGTGTTTTGCCAAGTCCCATGTCGTCGGCTAATATCCCGCCTCGAGTGAGCACTGGCGAGGTTTTGGTTGCGAAGCCGGTGGCGAGGTTGAGGTAGTGCTCGCCGTTTGCTGCAGTGTTCTTTTTGACCCTACAACATGATGAGTGCACTCAATTGCATTCCAGCGTGCTCTTGTTTACCAACCAGAATTGCGATGGGACTTTGTCGTGCGGGGGTGATGGGTGCTCTGCATTGATCATCCAATGCAATCCCTGTTTCTGGTAGCTCAAGAGTTTTGTGACAACTCCAGGAGGCTGAGGCGCTTCGGGCAGCTTCGATAGATCCTTTGTTGTCAAGCCCAAACTGTCATGTAAAGTTAGCCTTTTGCCCAGCAATTGCTAAATTCCCCACGAGCTAGGCTTCACCTTTCAAGAACTTGTTGCGACTTCTCAGGCGTCATCGACTCAGTCTGTCGTAAGATCCTCTGCCATTCCTCTTCTGCCAGAGCAGCCGCCGACTTTTGCAACTTCAAGTCTTCGGCGGAGACAAGAGATAATCTACTACGTTTCAAAGCATCTCTTATTCTTTCTTGATTCGCGGATGTTGTAACGACTGCAAGGGCAAGAGCTTGTCCGTACACGCCTCTGTCACCAATGACAATGCCTATTCGAAGATTAAAAGAGGACATTTGCGCCTTTGCAAACTGGCGGCCGACGTACCTTCAGCTCGCATCAGGCCGCCGTCAATCAACGGGGATACGTGGCATGCAACATCGCGCGGGATGTGACCAACCTCCATTGTATAAGCTTCTGAGTGAGCGAGCATACATGGATTGACTTGTCTTCCATCATGCCCACCTGCTCATTCGCCGCATTATCCACCCGGATAGCCCATCGATCATACATATTGTGCGGCTCCCTAACAAGAACCGTTTTCTCCTTCTTATTTATCATTCCATCATAATGACGTATCCCCACAATTTTGGTTCGAATAAAGCCAATTTCGAACTCTTGCTCGCGAGCTTCGTCTTCTCTTGTAGAAGCGTTTGTCGAGGTGTCGGAAGTATCATCCGTTGAGTCTCGGTTTGCCGCGTTGGGGTTTGCTAGTGATATGTAGGGTGTTGACTCGACTACTGATATAGCGGGTGTGGTAATGGGCCCTTGAGAAGTGTTTTCGTCGGACCGACCCTTCCCTTTTGCTTGGTTGCGTCTTTTGGAGGATGGGGATGTATCTGTTGCTGTGGTTTGATGTTTCGTGAATTGCGTCTTGTTTGAGTACAATGGTTACCTTCCGTAAACCCTTCAGACGCTGACGACAAGTTCCGTTTTGGCATCTTTGGAAGTAGCAGATGGCGTGACGTCGCTATCAAAGCTCTTCTGTCGGACTAGGGTGTATCGAAGTCTGAAGAGACCAAGTCTCACAGGGAAGAGACAAGATGACGGTGGGAACACGCCTACACAATTTCAATCTTGTGGGAATGAGAAGGAAGAAGGGGTTGAGAGGGGGCTATTTTTGACGACAACACGTCAAAGTGGCAATCAATTCCCAAAAAGGGCAAACCACATTACGTTATCGCGACCACAGAGTTGCTAGCCAGCATCAGCCAACTGGTGTTACCTATTTTCTGGCTACCAGCTAATTCCATGCCATCTTCCTTTCCACACGATTTTGGGCAGCTTCTTCATCGGCACTTTTCAAAGTCATCCCTACCGATCATACCCCTTTGCTATCCATCAACCACCATGTACGGACCAGCAAGAACGTCCATCCTGTCGAGGCATCTAAAGGTACCTTAGTCCACTTCCTTTTCCTATGTCTGCTTCACCAACCTAACCGTCATCCACCTCCTTCAGCCCCTCACCCGCATCCCCGTCCGCTACATGGAACGCCCCTCCCCCTTCCTCAAAACCCTCGACAACCGCAGCACCTTCAAAGACTACACCGACGCCCTCGCCAAAAAGGTCAAGTCCATCAAGCCGGACCAGTTGGCTACGAAGTTGGCATCGGATAAAATGCACTTCCCACCGCTTGGGTTTTATTTGTTGGACGTGCGGTGGGTGGTTTTTTTCGTTTTTTTTGTGTGGGAGGGTCCAGAATGTGAAGGGTGAAAAATTTCGTGATGAACTGCTTGTACTTAACAAACATCACATCAAACATAGTGAACCCTACGAATGGAACGAAGAACACATCTCAGGCGCCACCTACACCGGACGAGGAGCACTAGAGCGTGATATCGTAAGATTCCCCCCACTCGTCCTCCTCCTTCCGTCCAACTCTAACACCCACAATAGGAAAAGTTGATCCCCGACACCAACGCAGAAATAGTCGTCTACTGCGCCTCCGGCCGGCGCTCCGTCATCTCCGCGGACTCCCTCACGCGGATGGGTTACAAAAACGTATCATACCTGGAGGGCGGTGTGCGCGAGTATAGGGGAAATGGACCTATGCAAGAGAACCCTAAGGGGTGGCAAGAGGAATAATAGGATTTTTCTAGGGTGTTTTATGGACTGATTTTTTGAAGATATGGTTGGGAGTGTGGTTGTGTCTGTGGATTGTTGGCCGGAAATGATGGAGTGGGATTTGGAATGCAGTGTCAAGGACGAAGTGAGTTTTGAAAGATTTCCGTGGTGATGAGGAACGTACCTATGGTTAATGAAGCAGAAATGCGAACGTATGACCCGGGCTTGAACTTTGGATTTCTTGGTAACGGGAATGATCCTCTCTATGAAATAATATGCGGAGGGGAGAATTATGAAGGGCGTTGCCTGGAGAGATAAGCCCAAGCAGACAGCATACGAACATCTGGAGAAGGAGCGGGAGGTCTGAGCTCGGGAGGTCTGAGCGCTGAAGAAGTGGTTAGCGTTAGTTGGGGTTACGTTCCGTACATATGTGACCAGAACAGGGCGTCACACAGTCAGTATGAATGGCTTGAGTTTGACATGCCATACGTTTCGCCGCCCTTTCAAGCCATTTGATCATGCTTTTACAAAGTAACAAAACAACTGCTGGAAGGATAGTATGGCGGATTATGATGTTTCATCTGGAAGGGCCTAGTGATGGCGAACGACCCCTGGACTGGTAAAATCCTGAATGTGCAATTTGTGACGCTGGTCCAGTGTCAATGATTCCGTCAAATGGCGGGCATGGGAATACGTTCGTCATCTGACTTTTGCCGTACGGCAAAATACGTCAGAAACAGGTTGCCTTCCTCCCAAAATAGTCCCGATTCATCCACCAACTCCACCGTCCAAGTCCCTCGTCGACATTCGAGCCTCCATTCCAAACCCCTCACGAACGTCCCTCCGTCGTCCATCCCTAATCACCATCCCCACTTCCACCACCACCAACCCATCAAGAACAGTTAGGAACCAAAGGCAGGTGAGCTCATATTGGACGGATTATATGCACAGGAGGAATAAAGGGTTCATGTTGATGGGCAGAAGTCCTCTATTTGATGTCCTTGGAGTCGAGTCCTGGAAAAGATGGTAAATATTAGTTTCCCAACCGTCGCAATACTGTGTGATTGATTCGTGCTGACGTACCAGGGGGAAGAGATTGCCTAAGCTTCTCGGCCTTCTCTGCGTCCGCGACGATGAGGGTGTACAAGTACTTGGAGCAACGGACCTTGAACTTGTATTGGCTGCCGTTCTTCTTGATCTTGACGGCTGTTTGGAATGTGTGAGTTTTGGCGAATGACAATAATATGAGGATAGGGAATGGTGGACTTACACTTAGCGTCCTTGCGGCGCGCCGTGAGCAAAAACTCCTTGATCTCCTTCACCTGCTTTGGCTGTGAGGGGTGAAGAATATAGGTGAGATATGTGGTTTGAATAGGTGAACGCTGTTCGGGCAGCACTAGCTGTTATGGACTAATTCCGCAGTGTCCAACTTTTCCCATAACGGTGGTTCTCACTCGTCCCCCGGGGCCCGTTCAGCAGTGAGATGCAAAGCCGCCTGACCGCCGACATTGGGTGCCCAAAGATGTCCCGCATGCCTCCATGCATCGAGTTCACCATCCGCTTCCCACCTTCCCCCCGTCAATCCATCCATCCATCAACCCCTTCCACTAAACCGTCCCAATCAACCCCGCAAAGTCGAGCATAGGTTCTCCCTCTATCTGACACACGAGCGGTTAGACGGATGGATGCCGCTGCCTACTTACCATGTTGCTGCTCTAACGTTAGTGATTAGAGATGGCAGTGGCTAGAAGGGCCTTCAATGGACTTGCTGCCAACATCAAGTTGGGAGCAGGCAGGCCCAGCCGGCGGTTTGAGAGTGTGGCGCGCGGCGTTGAGCGGCGTATGGCTGGGCTGGTCCTACCGGGCGGGGTGTCCACACCAAAAATAGCTCCACAAATCACATTTGGTTGTGTCCAAAAATTGGATAATAGCACCCAAGGGGCCTTGGCGCAACGGTAGCGCGTCTGACTCCAGATCAGAAGGTTGCGTGTTCAAATCACGTAGGCCTCACATTTTTCTTTATCTCATTTGTTGTGTTTGGTTTTGGTTTTTTGTCGCATTCGCATAGGCAAGCCACAAGAGGGAGTGACACAGCGGAGGAGCATTGAGATGCAGAGTTGTTGAACAATTGAAAGCTCCCAATCTTGCGAGCTGTACATTTACAGATCAGCAACGGAACGTCTGGTGTTCCGAGTACTGTGTGAGGGCTTCCATGTGAGTTTACAGCCTCGTGAGCTTGCTAGATGTTCCCTTTCCGACCTATAGTGTATTCATATCTTTCATTCCGTACTATTTCCCTTTGAAGTTTCGCACGACGAGATATTCAGATTTTCCGTTTCGCAGAAGGTGATGATCGGTGAAGCTTTGAGTTTGTTGCGGTCAAGCATCACAGGCTTGATGTAGCATGCACAAAAGGGGGTTGGAACCGCCACTCTCAAAAGCTGACAGATATTTAGTGGGTGTCTAGTTCGATTGGTGCTCCCCAGGGACTCGAAGGATTTACAGCAATTTCCTTTGAATTGCTGGCTCCAGATGAGACTTGCTCAAGGGCTAGTAGTCAGTTCTGCTAGCCTTCTGACTCATGGTGCTTTCCCACTCAGACTCACCCTGCCGGTATCATTATTGAATATGCCGTATTGCTAGTGCGAAATCTGTAAATTTCCTGGGGTCGTGGACCTGACTGACCCAGTTGCCATGCAAGTTCGACAAGTTCGACGCGTCCAGATGGGAGCCAACTCCATGTGACGAATGGAACCCAGGAGCTTGGAGTCCAGGGCGCCGAAATGCTAAATGTGAATCAAGTGGCGCACGCGTCAGTCGCTTGACTCGCTTCCCATTGGGCCTGATCAGATTCAAGGAACATCCGGCCCGGTACCAAATCGGTGGGAAAGCGCACCTTCAATGTCGTGTCACACATGCACCGAGAAGCTTTTTCCAATTTGTGGTCATAAACATGGGGTGGGCCCAACCTCACAGGAATTACGCGTCAATACCATTTACGGGTAAATTAGTGACGGAAGCCGCCCGGATTCAGGCGCATTTTTCGGAGCCTTGAGGGATAAGCCTGCAGGGGCGGAGCCCTTCGAAATTACATGTCGCATTGGGATGGCGTGGGTGAAAAGTGTGTGTGTGTCTCGACTCTCTTTTGAGTTGCATGGAGGGAACACTGTGCACTGTGTGCAGCGTGAGTGAGTGAGTGAGTGCAGTGCAGTGGATGATTGACTGTCACTGACCGCAGGAGCGCGGGGGGTGTTGGAAACCAACTTGGTGAGGCACTGGTTCTCATTCGATGTTGAAGGGGGCTTCTTTTTCCTTCCTCACTCACACTCTTACGGAACGGACGGGGTCCCACAAAGAGAGAGACGGAGAGGTAAGTGTCAGGCAGGGGGCAGGAGCAGGAGCAAACTCAGCACAATGAAACAGGGGGCAGGCAACGATAGAAAGGGGGAGGATTGAAACTGATGAACTGATGGTTCGATTGTCTGTCGGGCTATCTGCTTCGATTGGGATTCTTATCATTCCTCAATCAATTCAAACTGTGTTGACACTGTTGCTTCTCACACCTTCCGGCCTTCAGGTTCATGATCCAATGGGACGCCTGTCCTGTGCCGACTATCATCAAACTTACGGAACGCCGTAATAAACACTCTCAACAATAGCGTGTATACCACATATACATTACATTGATAGTAGCAAAGCCGTGCCATCGGTATTCGGCACCTTCATCCAATCCCAATTCACCGCGCCCATTCCATCGAAAGAATTATATCGTGCAACCATTGAGCTTGGCCTTGGAATAGGTATGTATGCCTCGAAGGGATAATCTTGGGTGGTGTGTGGGGGATTCGCAACAATTCAAAAAGGCTATTGAAAGAGTATGCTTTGAGCCGTGGCTGTGGCGAATCTCATGCTGGTCAAACGGAGAGAGTGCCATATGCGAATTCTAATCAATATCATTGTATCATTCATTCCAAACACAACACTAGCCTTGTCTCAGGCACACGCCCTGCCCATCCCGAACCATCTTTTACGTTGTTTTACAATTTACATTTCGAGTCCTCGACCATGGCCAGCGACACGTGTGATAGCTCTTATCCGCAAGATGTAGTAGAAACGCTAGCGAGCTTAAAATCACATGCAAGAAGAGCGGCCGCTCGTACGGTAAGCGGTCATCGATCGGTGATCACTTCGTGACCAAATTCCAATGATCATTCCATACTAGTTTGCCCAAATCATACGCACTCGCATCAAAGACGCCAACACCAAGATCCGTACCCCTTCCGAAAGCGTAAAATCCAGACCAACATCTGCATCAAGCACATCCTCCGCTGCAAAGGACATTCCACAAACTCAATCGGCTAAATCAATAAATAGCGTCGAAGACGATGGAGTCGACTCCTCACAACCTGGAGAACAGAATGGTCACGGTCACACATCAAAGGCGTCAGTCCCTCCAGTCCTTGATCCAATCCGCAAAGTACTAGATCAATGGAAGGAATACGATGACATGGACGCCGTGGCTGATGAAAAGAAGGACGAAGACAAGGAAGCGAACGCAAAGCGGACTGCCGACACCTTCATCTACAAAAACCGAAATCTGTTAGTCCTGGAAGACGACGCAGAGAGGTATAGAGAACATTCCCCTACAACCGAAGCCGCCATGACTATCGTCGCCATGTCCGGTGGACCAATCCCTCCGTCGTTCCGAAAAAGAAAGCCGCCGGAATGTCCTGTCCAGACTAAACTGAAGAAGATGCGGAGACGGCGCGAGAGGTTGGGGAGGTTGGCTTGGTATGCGGAGTTGGCGTTGTCGGGTGTGGAGTTGCCGACGGCGGAGGAGGTGGAGAGGAGGAATGGTGAACGGGGTGATTTGGCGGTGGAGGGTGGGGATGGGGTTGGGGATGGGGATGAGAGTGGTATGGAGGAAGAGGTGACGCCTTGTGCGAATTTGTTTGATGCGTTGATTGAGGCGGCGAAGAATGCTAGTTTGTCGGAAGCGCCGAATGCGGAGGAGTTGAATGATACGCTCATTAAGTTGGCTCATCCACCTCGTGTTAGTTCTCGAAAGCGTCGTTCGTCAGCGACAGCAGCATTGGAGAGTTCCAATTCTTCTACACCTATTCCGATTGTTGACGACTACGCACCTTCTTCCGGTCAGGCCAGCGCGACTGTTACACCTGTGCAATCGCCGAAACTGGGACGGTCACACCTGAAGGCGTCGAAATCCGCAGGAGGTAGTAAAACGCCAAAGCCTTCGACCAAACTCTCTTCTCGAGTTCCGGGAAAAGGAAAACCCGGTACGTCAAGAGACGAAACATCCCCAACATCAAAACTCCCCACCCCACCATCTCCCTACCACTCAAGACTCGCCCCCCACCCACCACCCGCCCCCGTCTCAGCCGCAACCCTCTCCAAAATCGTCGACGCATTCGGAGTAGCACAACCCGGCGGTGGCATCTCGAAAGACACCTCTCGTTCTTCCCTTCCCTTGAACCCCCCCTACCCACCACCAAACCTCGGCCCATCCCCCAACGCCATCCCCTTCGAATCCCCATTCTCCGCTCGTAGACTGCTGGATCAATATAACACGACGCAGGAACGGACATCTCAGGCTTTACCGTCATTGAATTCCGTCTTACAGGGTGCGGGGTCGAGGTTAGATCCGCCTTATTGGCGGTCCCAACCACCTCCACCTCCACCGCCCCCACACGACGCCGCCCCGCATGTGCCGTATAAGTTTTATTCTGCGCTTTCGGACGCGGCACCGAATTTGGGACCGGCGTTTCCGTCAACGCAGGGGTATGGTGGGGAGAGGAGTATGGAGCCTAATCGGAATGCGCAGAGTAGTGATTTTTTGGCGGGGGCGGGGAGGAATGATAGGGGGAATGCGTTGCCTTCTATTAGGGATATTTTGGGTGGGGGGGAGGAGGGGCGAGGTGGTGGAGGAGGGGGGAGGGGAGCGTTTGGAGGGGGGTATCATGGGAAGGGGATGGTTGGGGAGATGTATGGGGGTGGGGGTGGGTTGGATGGGTTTGGAGGGAAGAGGGGACGGGAGGATGGTGGTGGGAGAGCGGGTGGTGGGG